TTTTATACGCCCACATTGAAATGTGGTCGTATATTGTCGTCTCCCCCGTCCGTCCGTCCATCTGGCGTCCACAATTGCTTGTGGACGCTCTAGAGGCTAAAGTTAATATCCGATTGACTTTAAATTTATATACAGTGTTTAAGGCCATGAAACGAAGAAGCCTATTTTAGCGATTTCCGATAATTACTGCCAGAGTTATGGCCCTTGATCACTTCAAAAAGTCTTGTGGACGCTCTAGAGGCTAAAGTTAATATCCGATTGACTTTCAATTTATACACAGTGTTTAAGGTCATGATGCAAAGAAGCCTATTCATTTTCAGTGATTTTCGATAATTACTGTCACAGTTATGGCCCTTGATCACTTATCCGATTGACTTCAGATTGATACAAAGATTTTAAGAGCTTGAGACGAACAAGTATATTGATTTTCAATGAATTTTTATGACTTGAACAGCTAAATCCATGATATTAAAAACCAAACAAATTCTAATGGTTTTCTGATAATTATTTCATGAGTGTATTATAAATGTTTCATTACCGAAAGAAGTAAAAATATGCGACAACACTTGTTGACTGCCCGGATGATTTCGCTGCTGTGGGCGTATGTTTCGTTGCCTGGCAACCTATCTTATTCCATTGTGCAGTCGTATAATTTTCAATCTAAGCGTAATAATGGCCAAAGGAAACCCGATTGCCCTATCCACATTTATGTCGTGGTGTGAAGAAATCCATACGGAAATTGGTTTTAAAAATTAAAGAAGAGTATGACTGTCAAAAACAGAAAGCGATGGTCACACATGTTTACTGCAAGCTCTGTGCCAGGAATAGCAATTTTCTTATGATTTTAACTTGGAACAATGTTAAAAAATGTGTACTCATGCAAACAACATTTTGCGTGAGCAATTTTTATTGCTCGCCTTGCTCGCCCAAACCTAAATTTGCGTGAGCCAGCATCTGCTCGCCATCAAATTTATTCGTGGCCAGCCCTGTGTCATCTATTTATTTTGGGATTTCGTGGAGGACATCAGCCTCACTGTTGGCTTGTTACATCACCTTTTAGTCAATTTCTCACCCCTGTTAATTAACACACCGTACCTACAGATTTTAGCCTCTTCGTATTAGATTTGTTGCGATAATTAGAATTTTACCGATATTCATAGAAATTTACTAAAAAGTGAGAAATCTATATCGTAAACGTACAAATCACACTATTACTACTTCTCGGTGATATCAAAGTTGTGGACCCTCTATAGGCCACAATTTTGATCCGATTTTGATGAAACTTGAAATGCAAGTTTATAACCCAAAGATCTTAGTTCTTGTAACTTCCTGAATTATGGCCTCTGGTTGTACGAAAAATCGCGTTTTTAGCTTGTGGTGCCTCTAGAGGTCACAATCATTATTCGAATTAAAAAAACGTTCGAATATATCACCATTACACCATGTTTGTTGAGGTCGAATTTCGTGAAAATCGGGCCAAAACTACTGGACAAAATGGCCGCCCCTCGTACGCAAATAGTGTAAACATCTGGTAAATCAAGGTTGTGGACCCTCTTGAGGTCACAATTTTGATCTGATTTTGATGAAAGTTGAAAGATATGTTTATAAATAAAAAGATCTTGGTTCCTTTCGATATTCGCACGTATCGGATTGTATCTTCCTGAATTATGGCCCTTGAATGTACAAAAAATTGCGTTGTTAGCTTGTGGTCCCTCTAGAGGTGACAATTATTATTCGATTTAAAAAAACGTTCGAATATATCACCGTTACACGGTAACTTCCAGGATTGTGGCTCCTGATTGTTCAAAAAATCGCATTTTTAGCATGCAGATTCTCTAGAGGTCACAATTATTTTTTCCGATTTTAAAAACCGTTTAAATATATCACCATTCCACCATAATGAATGTTAAAATCGAATTTCGGGAAAATCGAAATGAAACTGCCGGACAAAATGGCTGCACTTTGTACGCAAATTGCGTAAAAGTATGCTACAAAGGTTCTGGACCCTCTAGAGTTCACAATTTTTATCCGATTTTGATGAAAATTAAAACATATCTTTATATCCCAAAGATCTCAGTCCCTTTTGATATTTGGGCGTATCCTGCCTGGCAGCCGCTTGTTAGTTTGTGGATTCTCTAGAGGTCACAATTTTTTTTCTGATTTTAACCCTTTCATTGCATCTACCCGGTAGTACCGTGTATTATAAAATGTCGGTAAAATACGTGTACCCGGTATTACCGTGTACTCAGTAAAGCCCTCGCTAAAATTAGTTCCGTAACTGCAAGTGCCATCTATTGTATTTTCTATACACTAGAACATATTTCCACGTGTTTCAAAGCGGTAAACCGTAAAATGGCAGAGTGCATAGTGACAACGTAGATGATGCACTCTCGACGAAGTCTTGAATGACGTCTTGCTGACAAACGGGTGGACAATTTCGAGGCGGGTGATTCACATAAATCGTTTCCATTTACTTGATAATGATAGAAGTCAGGACAGTGATTGGTATTATGAAGTGTGTGATTTGTTGCGCGACGTTCTGCCCATGGCTGGCTATGTCTCCCGTGCATGATGAACAAGCCCAATGTGAACACGATAGCCTGTGTCTGCAGTAGATTCTGACAATAATTCTGATGTTGATAATAATGCTGGCCTGCTGGATCGTAAAAGACGTAGGCAATTCCTTAGTCCCGAACGTGTAGATCTATTGACTGACTATATTGATAATGGTATGGGACTTGGGGATGAAAGTGAAAGTAAAAACAAGGTATTGCAATCCGCACGTCGTCATGGCAGCGGGAGACGTGATGCGCGTGTTCGTGGTGGCATTGTTCATGGCTGCTATTGATATTTTTGTTCATTTTATATATTTTCATCAAAATCCAGTGAAAAAAACAATATCTCATAAGTATTTTATGGAGAAAAATTTGTTTTCGTGTTAGCTTTAGTGAGAAATGAAAAATCCAAAATGGCCGCCATGACGTCACGTGACTACATCATTATGCAAATTTCCAAAATTCTATTTTTTTTTCTTAGCCCAACCTCATGCCCATCCGAACAGACAAAAAGATTTTTCATAAAAGCTTCCATTAGTACTGTTTGGCATTCAGTTCCAACCCCCCTTTTTTCCTCAAAAAAGGGTCTATCACAGGCAGTGGATTTATGTCTAGCATTGAAAGGGTTAAAACCATTTGAATATATCACCATTCCACCATAATAAAGGTTGAATTCGAATTTTGGGAAAATTGAAATGAAACTGTCAAACAAAATGGCCGCTCTTTGTACGCAGTTTGTGGACCCTCTAGAGGTCACAATTTTTTATACGATTTTGATGAAACTTAAAACATATCTTTATATCCTAAAGATCTCGGCCCCTTTTGATATTTGCACATTTTAGACCGTGACTTTCTGGATTATGGCCCCTGATTGTACAAAAAATCGCGTTTGTTTTTAGCTTGTTCTCTATCCATGTCCTGCAAAATGTGGGCGTATCCTGCCTGGCAGCCACTGGTAATTTCAGTTTTTGGGTTCTGGCTTAATTAATAAGTGTTGCCTGATTTGTGTAAAACAAAAGCTCATATGCTCTGTGGTGCAAATTCTCAACTTTTTTCTACCGATAAAGTTTTCTGTCGGCACCGGAAGTGACATAATTTTGTCCAAAACTTCAATTTTGACGTGTTGAAGTGTCTTTTCACCATGTGATGCCTTCAACCTTATGCCATTTATGATTTCCTAGAACTATTTTAACAATTTCATTATCAGCGGAAGTAATTTCATTTTGACAAAAACTGTAGGCCTATTTATATAGCCTTCAAAACAAATATTTTTTTTGAAGTGAGTTATATTTATTATTCGTTTACATTATATTTGATTCCAATGGACATATAGACTGGGTCAATGCGATCATATAGATGTCCAAAAATTGCTTCTAGCATCTTCCCTTGTTGAGAAATAACCAATTTAGTCAGGATCACTTTTTAAAATTTTTTCGCATTTTAATTTCCCATTAGAAAGTCACCTAACTTAGCGGTAAGTTAGTAACAAATTTTGTCAGGATCGCTTTTTTATACGCCCACAATTGCTTGTGGATGCACTAGGGGCTAAGTTAATATCCGATTTCCGATAATTACTGCCAGAGTTATGGCCCTTGATCACTTTGGAAAATCTTGTGGCCGCTCTAGAGGCTAAAGTCAATATCTGATTGACTTCAAATTTATACACAGTGTTTAAGGTCATGAGACGAAGAATCCTATTTATTTTCACTGATTTCCAATAATTACTGCCAGAGTAATGGCCCTTGATCAGTTTGAAATATTGTGTGGATGCTCTAGATGCTAAAGTTAATATTCGATGGACTTTAAATTTATACACAGTATTTAAGGTCATGAGACGAAGAAGCCTATTGATTTTCATATATTTCTGATAATTACTGCCAGAGTTATGGCCTTTGACCCTGATGAGATGAAGAAGCCTGGTAATTTTCAACTATTTCCAATTGTTATGGAAATTGATATTAAATGTTTTGTATGCTAAATGTTAAAATAGGGCAGAACTAGAAGCCAAATGTGTTGTTACTTGTAATAAAATTTTAGTGTGTTGTAAATGTTTTCATTCTTGAGGAAAAAAAAAAAAAAAAATGTGACAGCCCTTGTTGACACCCTGGACAACTTAGCTGCTGTGGGCGTATGTTTGTTGCATACTATGACAATACCCTCCTGTCCTGAAGAAAGAATTTCCATTTACAAAAGTAGTCATTATATGATCTATCACCTGTAAGAAAATCAAAATACACCATGATAATTACTATTGAAAAAGTAAAAGATAAAAGATATTATAAAAGACAACAAGAGCATAATGAATAGATGCTGACTCACTAACCTGTGGGTCTCTGGTTTGATCCCGGTCTTGGCTGAGAAATTTATATATGAATTTCCAGTCTGGTTCCCCCTTGTCATTTCTAATTTGTAATTATAACCAACACTTGTCTTTTACATAATAAGGAATGAATGTACAGAAAGCTGTAAGGCAAGGCGAAGAGAAAGTGAAAATGATGTGAAACTGCTAAGAAGAGATCTGAAATTACGGGAAGATCAATATCGCAATTTAGATGTTGAGATTCAGGTAATGTTCAAGTTTTAACTGTTTAACTATAGAAGAATTGTTTTGAGCAGATTGCCAGCATGGGGGATTCCCCCTTTTCGAAGAAATCTATTGACTATTGAAATGGGTTTGTCTGTCGATCTGTCTGTCACACTTACGAGGACACTAAAACTCTGCTTCTAATTGAGGTAGACTGTTCAAAAACAGTGTAGGTGTTTATTGCGTGTATGTGTTTATCCCTATAGACCAGGAGCCCAGAGGGTCAACCTAGCTGAAAAGTGTACCAATTTTCTCCTATATGGTATCGATGCATGTATATCTGGTATCAACAGAATGTAAGTCTGCTGGGTTTCTGGTGGTGGTTGTGGTATTCCAAGCCTAAAATGCCATGCCCCACAACTAGTCTAGATTAGCTCAAAAGTGTACCACATGAAAATCTCACAGCAATGTACCGTACATCTTCAGGTACTACAAAAACACTCTGACAGACATTTCTAGTGGTGGGGAGCCCCCGAATAGAGCTAAGTAATTACCAGACATTTGTAGTGTTGGAGTCTCCCTGACGAGTTATCTAATTTGTACGAAAAATCAAGTTTTTAGCTTGAGGTCACAATTTTTATCACTTTCTTTTTAGCTTGTTCTCTATCCATCTCTCGAAAATGTGGGCGTATCCTGCCTGGCAGCCGCTGGTTTTTAAGTTTGTAGAACCTTGTGAACCCTCAAATGGCAAAAATTATAATCTGATCTGTATGGAAATGTCCTGTAAAGGCCCCCAGTTACCTACATAGGAATAAATACGAGACAATCCTTGTAGACCGCTCGGACGATTTAGCTGCTGTAGGCGTATGTTTCGTTGTCTGGCAACCTATCTTTGAAAATTTTGTGAACGTGAAAGAATCTAGCATTTTTATATGCCCACATTTTCATGTGAACATATATTCTCTCGTCACCCCTGTCTGTCCGCCCGTCTACAATTTGTTTGTGGGCATTCTACGGATCACAATTTATCCGATTTTGACGAAACCTGAAACATTGTTTTATATCCCAAAGATCTCGGTTCCTTTTTACTATACGCCCACATGGAAATGTGGTTGAATATTGCCGTCGGGCCCGTCCGTCGGTCCGGACTACATTTATCAACCGATTGTTTTGAAATTGATATATGTTGTTTGCATTAGTGAGATGAAGAACCCTATTTAATTTCAATAAATTCCGTTAATTTCTTCTGGAGTTATGGCCCTTGTTTCACTTTGTTGAATCTTGTGAATGCTCTAATGACAAAAGTTATCAACCGATCTGTATGAAATTGATATGCATCATTTAAATTAGTGAAATGAAGACACCTATTGAATTTCCGTTAATTTCTTCTGGATTTATGGCCCTTGTTTCACTTTTTTGCACCTTGTGAACGCTCTAACGACAAAAGTTATCAACCGATCTGTATGAAATTTATATGCATCATTTAAATTAGTAAAACAAAGAAAAAAGCCTATTGAATTTCAGAAATTTCCGTTAATTACATCTAGAGTTATGGCTCTTGTTTCACTTTGTTGAATCTTGTGAACGCTCTAATGACAACAGTTATCATCCGATCTGTTTGAAATTGATATGCATCATTTAAATTAGTGAAATGAAGAATCCTATTGAATTTCAGCAATTTCTGTTATGACGTCGTGAGTTATGGCCCTTGTTTCACTTTGTTGTACCTTATAAATGCTCTTACGACAAAAGTTATTATCCGATCTGTATGAAATTTATATGTATCATTTAAATTAGTAAAACGAACAAGCCTATTGAGTTTCAGTTATCACCTAAATTAGTGAAATGAAGACGAACAAGCCTACTGAATGTCAGCAATTTCCGTCAATTACCTCTAGAGTTATAGCCCTTGATTTACTTTGGTGAACTTTGTGAACTTTCGAACAACAAAAGTTATCATCCGATCTGTATGAAATTTATATGCATTATTTGAATTAGTAGAACGAAAAAAGCCTGTCGAATTTGAACAATTTCTGTAGATTGCTTCCAGAGTTACGGCCCTTGTTTTAGTTTTTATACGCCCACATTGAAATGTGATCGTATATTGTCTTCGCCCCCGGCGGTCTGGCGCTTGTGGACGCTCTAGAGGCCAAAGTTAATATCTGATTGACTTTAAATTTATACACAGTGTTTAAGGTCTTGAGACGAAGAAGCCTATTGATTTTCAGCGATTTCCGATAATTACTGCCAGAGTTATGGCCCTTGATCACTTCAAAAAATCTTGTGGACGCTCTAAAGGCCAAAGTTAATATCCGATTGACTTTAAATTTATACACAGTGTTTAAGGTCATGAGACGAAGAAGCCTATTGATTTTCAGCGATTTCTGATAATTACTGCCAGAGTTATGGTCCTTGATCACTTTGAAAAATCTTGTGGACGCTCTAGAGGCCAAAGTTAATGTCTGATTGACTTCAAATTTATACACAGTGTTTATTGTCATGAGACGAAGAAGCCTATTGATTTTCAGCGATTTCCGATAATTACTGCCAGAGTTATGGCCCTTGATCACTTTGAAAAATCTTGTGGACGCTCTAGAGGCCAAAGTTAATATCTGATTGACTTTAAATTTATACACAGTGTTTAAGGTCATGAGATGAAGAATCCTATTGATTTTCAACGATTTCTGATAATTACTGCCAAAGCGATGGCCCTTGATCACTTTGTGACGCTCTAAAGGCTAAAGTTATCATCCGATTGACTTTAAGATCTTGAGACGAAAAACAAGTATATTGATTTTCAATGAATTTTTATGTCTTGAACAGCTAAATCCATGATATTTAAAGTTTTGTATACAAAACGTTGGCATGTGGCAGAAATTTATAAAAACAAACAAATTCTAATGGTTTTCTGATAATTACTTCATGAGTTGTTGCTCTTAATCAGATTTTAGTGTATTACAAATGTTTCATTACAGAAAAAAGTAAAAATATGCGACAACTCTTGTTGACTGCCCGGACGATTTAGCAACCTATCTTTAGAACCTTGTGAACCTTCAAACAACGAAAAATTATAATGTCATCTGTATGAAATTGTCTATTAAATTCCCCTAATTACCTACAAAAGAATAAATATGTGACAACCCTTGTCAACTGCTCGGACGATTTAGCTGCTGTGGGCGTATGTTTTGTTGCCTGGCAACCTATCTTATTGGCATGTAACAGACCGTAATGCTATGGATTATGGCCCTGCTTGTATGAAAAATCATGTTTTTAGCATGTGGACACTCAAGAGGTCACAATTGTTATCCGATTTTGATAAAGCTTTAATTATCTGGGTTCTTTTCAATGTTTGCGCATATTGGACCCTAACTTCCTGGATTATGGCCCCTGTTTGTACGAAAAATCACGTTTTAGCTTGTGGACCCTATAGAGGTCACAATTTTGATCCGATTTTCTTGAAACTTGAAATGTAAGTTTATAACCCAAAGATCTCAGTTCCTTTTGATATTCGCGCATATCGGACAGTAACTTCCTGAATTATGGCCCCTGATTGTACGAAAAATCACGTTTTTAGCTTGTGGACCCTATAGAAGTCATAATTTTTATCCGATTTAAAAAAACGTTCTATTATATCACCGTTACACCCTAAGGATGACTGAGTTCGAATTTCGTGAAAATTGACAGACAAAATGGCCGCCGTTCGTTCCCAAATAGCGTAAGAATATGGTATATCAAGGTTGTGGACCCTATAGGGGTCACAATTTTTATCCGATTTTGTTGAAACTTGAAATGTAAGTTTATAACCCAAAGATCTTGTTTCCTTTCGATATTCGCACATATCGGACCGTAATTTCCTGAATTATGGCCCCTGATTGTACGAAAAAAAAGCTTGTGGAAACTATAGAGGTCATAATTTTTACCCGATTTAAAAAAAGTATTATTATATCACCGTTACACCCTAAGGCCGACTGAGTTTGAATTTCGTGAAAATCGGCCCAAAATTGACAGATGAAATGGCCGCCGTTCATTCTCAAATAGCGTAAAAATATGGTATATCAAGGTTGTGGACCCTATAGAGGTCACAATTTTTATCCGATTTTGTTGAAACTTGAAATGTAAGTTTATAACCCAAAGATCTCGGTTCCTTTTGATATTCGAGCATATCGTACAGTAACTTCCTGAATTATGGCCCCTGATTGTACGAAAAATCACGTTTTTAGCTTGTGGACCCTATAGAGGTCATAATGTTTTTCGGATTTAAAAAAACGTATTATTATATCACCGTTACACCCTAAGGACAGCTGAGGTCGAATTTCAGGACAATCAGCTCAAAATTGACAGACCAAATGGCCATCGTTCGTTCTCAAATAGCGTAAAATTATGGTATATCAATGTTGTGGACCCTATAGAGGTCACAATTTTTATCCGATTTTGTTGAAACTTGAAATGTAAGTTTATAACACAAAGATCTCAGTTCCTTTCGATATTCGCGCATATTGAATTGTAATTTCCTGAATTATGGCCCTTGATAGTAGGAAAAATCACTTTCTTGTTAGCTTGTTCTCTATCCATCTCTCGAAAATGTGGGCCTATCCTGCCTGGCAGCCGCTGGTTATCAGATTTTGCCGAAACTTGAAATATAGGTCTATCTGCCAAAGATCTCGGTTCATTTTGATATTGGCATGTATCGGACCATAACTTCATGGATTATGGCCCCTGATTTTACGAAAAATCACGTTTTTAGCTTGTGGACACTCTAGAGAGGTCACAATTTTCATCTTTTTTTTAATTTAATTTAAAAGACCGCGTAATGTATTCGTCTGCTGCGCGAAAAGCAATATGGCCGATGCATCGCTGACAACAGAAAATAACCAAGGAAAATTGGATGATACCGACATAATAAAGCTTTGTTCTTGGACAAACTCAGAAATTGCATCGCTTTTAAATGACAAGTTACTAGAAGGTTGCGTAGTAATGTGGAAAATGGGATGATCTTTGTAAAAACTGAAGTTTTGGAGTTGAAAAATGAGCGTAATTATATG